CTGAATCGATTTCGTGTTAATGACAGAAAATGCATCATCATCATTATCATCATCAACAGCCTATAAATGCCCATTGCTGAGCAAAGCCTCTTCTCACAAGGAGAAGGTTTGAGCATTAATCACCATGCTTGCTCAATGCTACCAACAGCAAGTACCAATGTGACTTTTTCCGAGTGATATGTACTTTCTAAGATTATTCAGACACCACGGGCAAACGGTGAAGAAAATCATCGTGAGGAAACCTGAGCTTATAATTTCTAATTATAAGTTTGTAATCGCCAACCCGCATTGAGCAAGCGTGGTGATTATTGCTCAAACCTTCTCCGTGTGAGAAGAGATACAAATAGACCATCAGTCGAGAAAACAAAATTCGATTACCAAGATTGTAGATTCAGAAATGATTTCTATCATTCCATTTTTAATTAAAACGAGAGGACACAGATGAAAGTTGGAATCGTACAATTATTTCAGTTCATGGATTCCGTAATTTTATACTTTGGTAAGTAATTAAAGGCTTCTCTTAAACTTGGGAGTTCTGTTAGGAACACAATAATTGTTTTTGGCGACCCTCCCTACCCGTACCTATCTAGCTAGTTTATTGTCAAGTATCCTTTTGTTAATTTGTTGAAACTAAGGCTGTTTCTAAGGAAATAGTTAACTTGGTTATTCGTAGATGTCGAAATATAGGTACTAGCTGTTACCCGCGACTTCGTGCGCGTGAAATTATTCATATTTCTTGTTAATTTATACTTTTTTGAAGTGACAACGTTTTGATTGGCGAGGCGTATTTGAGAGCTAGTAAGAAACGGGACGTTTATTGTCTACTCAAGATGGCGCCTGCGGTTTGTCTGTCAGTGTCATTAAAATGAATTAATAAAACGAAATATTCTCCGTAATCCGAATTTTGCGGATATATGTTTTCGAATCGAAATCGATATTTTTTTATGTTTTGTTACATAACATAACATCACGCCTTTTATCCCCGAAAGGGTAGGCAGAGGTGCACATTATACCACTGTACAATGTAACACCCACTTTTCACTATTTATGTTATGAGTCCCATGTAATAGGGGGTGAGCCTATTGCCATATACCGGGCACAATTCCAGACGCCGTGCTACTACTGAGAATATTTAAAAACCCAGTAATACTTTGCCCGACCCGGGAATCGAACCCGAGACCCCTTGCCCGGCAGTCGCACTTACGACCACTCGGCCAAAGAGACAGTCATATGTTTTGTTATTCAGGTAATATTTCGAGCGAGTCTACCGTACCCCTTGACGAAATTATGAATACAGATAACTAGCTTCTGCCAGCGGCTTCGCCCAGGTTCCCGTGGGGCAAAAAGTGGTCTATGTATTATTTCAGACTATAATAGACGCCTGTTCTAAATTTCATCTCGATTTCTTCAGCCGAAGAGTAACAAACACACACATATACTCTTTTCTCTCTTTCTTTCTTTCTTTATATCCTCACAAATTTTCGCTTTTAAAATATTAGGATAGCTTCTTACTTGAGTATCTAAATTCTTCTGGGCGAGCTATATGTATCGTATAGTGAACTCATTTTACTTGTACCAATTTATGTTATATGCGTTTAAAATATACCAGATCTGGGGATTTATTTTGTTTCAGTTAGAACCATTAGGTAGGTGCTGGAGTTCTTTGCCAGAGTATGTTTTCTAAAGGTTACAACCTGGGCGTCTTCAAGTCTCGAGTAAATAGGTTGCTTATAGGCAGACGTGCTCCATCGTAGCATCATCGTTTACTACCAAGCGTTGAATAGGCTAAATGTCGACACAAACACAAAAAATCATGTTCTCATTCATATACCTTCATTCTCATTACAGAATTTCATTAGAAAAGAAAGAGAGAAAGAAATAATTGCAAGTTGCATCCCCAGTTCGTGGCAAAATAGAAACCACAGAGCGGTAAACCTAATTAGTTACCGCAGTCAAGACTTAAATTTTAATATAAATAACGTTCATACTTTTCTTTGTAAGTCGTTCTTTGTGGGGGACTAGAGAAACTAGGGTTAGGTACTAAGCAGCTGAGGGAGGGGAGGGGTGTTCTCCAACCAATTAAAACCTGGTATTAAAAATATCTGGTTAGCTGTATTGGTAACAAAGTAGAATACGTTTTATCATCACGTATTCCCTTCCCGTTGCAGTCGAAAGAGATAGCTAAGGGGTTACGTATTTGATAGACTTATTTGAATTAATTGTAATACGAATTAATGAATGACAAGGTATTTTTTTGGCTGAAACAGAAATTGATCTCAAAACCTTTTGTGACCACGGTCAATAAGACAGACAATGCAAAGTAGAGAATAAACGTAAAATGCGATAGCAGAATAGTTCAGAAAACGAAACGGTCGGGATAATTGCAAAGTTAAGTGAATTTCTCTCGACGTGCGTCGCAAAACAAGTTTTTTCGTACTACGTAGAAAATACAGAAAATCCACTTCATATTGGAAATAAACAAATGGAATATTTTTGATAATACTAAAGAATGCAGACGACGAAGGGGTAGACAGAGGAGTACAATATCTACCAGCGGTTTTTGCCTCTGCGTCTTTACACACAGTGTACACTTATTTTTTTTTCAATGTTGTAAAAATAATATTAATGTTATGTTTTACTATTTTATTTTACCCGATGTGGAATATCCTCATGGAACCCCCTTTAAAAGATTCGTATGTACATACATACTTATGACTGCGCATAGTATAAAATATTAAGTAGAAAAGAAGATTAAAAAAAGTTTTTAACCGCACCGATTCATGGTAGATACCTGGTAGCCCCCCCCCATACGCATGAAGCGCTTCGCATCAAGGTTCCTTGTGCGTACTGCTAAGAAGTAGAACTCTCTGTCAGACTCTGTATTTCCTGAAGTGTATAACCTGGTCTTCAAGGCCCGAGTGAATATGTTGCTTATGGGACGACGTGCTCCATCGTAGACAGCAGCGTTGCTTACCACCAGGCGAGATCGTGGTCAAACGTCGACCCATCAAATATAAAAAGAACCTTTTTATAGCATAACATAACATCACGCCTTTTATCCCCGAAGAGGTAGACAGAGGTGCATATTATACCACTGTACAATGTAACACCTACTTTTCACTATTTATGTTATGAGTCCCATGTAATAGGGGGTGAGCCTATTGCCATATACCGGGCACAATTCCAGACTCCGTGCGACTACTGAGATTTTTTTTAAAAAAACCCAGCAATACTTTGCCCCACCCGGGAATCGAACCCGAAACCCCTTACCCGGCAGTCGCACTTGCGACCACTCAGCCAATAAGGCAGTACTTTTTATTTTTCTCTCAATCATGAATCACTTCATTATTTGTACTGAATGGCACTATTGTTATAATTGTTTTATGTCACAAGTTTGTTTCAGAGTAAAACGAACAACAAAAACTGGGAGTGCTGCGGTCTTTTATTTTTTTATTTGGCGTGAAGTTTACAGCGTTGTCGTTACATAGACTGTTCAGTTCTCAGATCATTTTCTTTTAGTTTTCGTAGTAGGTAATTGATTTAGGTTTTCTAGTAATTATCACATAAAAGATTCTAAGGTACTAGCTTCTGCCAGTGGATTCGCCCGTGGTATAAAAAGAAGCCTATGTGTTAATAGGCCATAATTTAGTGGGAAGTCCCGTAATGCCGGATGGCACCTACCGCCGGGCGCCGGACACTTGTATTATCTCGATAACTGATAACACGAGTGATTCAATTCTTACTAAAAATCTTAGGTGTCTGCCACTGGGAGACTTCCCTCTAAAAATTTATTGTTCTTTTATTTTTTTTTGTTGTTGCTGTTTTGACGTGAATGAGGAACAAACAAACAAATACACAAAATTAAATACTATTGACGGTATTATATTGATTTGAAATGTCGCGTGACGTCACAGCGTGCTACAAAATGTACCACGTTACGACGTATTTACCTCCCACTCCTAATATACGTGTCCAATATTTTTTCCTTACCTAACTGACGGACTAATTAGATTTTGAATTTTCTTACCCTAGAAACTACCCAATTATTAAAACCGGTTCGTTGACCAAGTGGTCGTATTTGAGAGTAAAGGATCTTGGATTCGATTTTGGGGTTGACCAAACATTGATTTTGTATCTTTGTATATGACAGTCTTACGAGGATTTCTTTTTAATTTAATAAAAAATTAACGTGGTTAATTGTTACAAAATAATTTAAAAAATATTACAAGAAGGTTTCAAGTTGGAAAAAATAGCAAAAAAATATTTATGTTGTTCTTGTGACACGTAGACAGACAAGGTAATTACAGAATTTGCAATATTACGAGTTACAGAAAAATGTATTACTTTTTCTTCACGTTTATGATATTTAAACTACGAGTGTTAAGGTCTTTTTAGCCGTTTTGGGGTTTGAGATTTGAGGATTGCGTATTTGGGTATTGGGAACACCAGGTAAACCATCTGTTCGTTAGCTGCTCATTGCTTTAAAAAAAGTTAGGCTCCTAAAGTAGTTATAACTTCATCGCTTGTCATGAAGGCTCTGTCGTATTAAAATGCTTGTTATAATTTGAAAAGGACAGCCATTGAAGCTACGAAGTTGATGGCTCATTAAATAAAATATTGACATCTACTTGTGTCCTTACAGTAACTATTGGTTACCGTGCACCAACAAAATGGCGTCTTTAAGGTTATTTTTATAGAACGAAGTTGAGAAATTTGAGAAATTTTACTATTATTACTACTACCCCCTCCTGCGAGGGGTTCACCTGCTCTGCTCCGTGTTTGAGGTCTTTAGCCACTGGATACATAAGTTTTTTTTAAGCGGGGAAAATCATCGAATGACTGCTCCCGCCTGGGTGAGGCGGGAGGGAGTGTCAGACTCTTACTGACTAAAAACCACCCTGTTCCTTCTCCTGCACGTCGAGCTGGAGCCCCGGTTACCCGTAAGGTTCTCCGCGACGGATACATAAGTTTAAAACAAGAAAATTAAACCTAAAACTCACCTCGTTGTCTATCATAAGCATTTATACATTCGCTCGTCTGGAACTGGCTGATGAGGGCTGTCTTCCCGACCCCTGGAGCTCCGACCATGGCGACTCGGTGGCACGCTACTGGCTTGCGTTCTTGAGACTCAGGCGCTGATTGTGCAGGTGAAGAAGGGGCTAGACTGCCTGATCTTGATCTGCGGCGTCTGAATGAGTCTCCTCGGTTGACTATGCCTGGAAAAGAAGAGATATGGTTAATATACACCTAATATATTGAATTCAATACTATTTGGTATTCTTGTTGTCAATTAAAGATCAAACCAAAAAATACTTTTCCTTATGAATTGTTTATTACATTGGTTCAAGTAAACTAAGTAACTCCTTAGTACCTCTACATCAGCTACCTGCAAATAAAAGTCCCATCAAAATAGGTCCAGACTTTTCATGGATCTTTCAAACTTGTCTTGTTACGTTACCGTAGGTGTTTAATTAGTACGTACTATAACGGGCTGGTGCTGAAAATCAGCGCCGTGGGCTCGAGCCTCTGTGCCCGGTCCACGGCATTAAGCTGAGCTCCAGCCTTTTGCGATGCGACGCACCATGGGCTTTTTTTTGTGTTTCTAAATTCATGTTGTGTGTCGTAGCAAAATTTTTCTTTCTTTCTTTCTTTCTTGTCGAAAATTGTTCAAAATGTTATTTTGGAATGTGTATCGTATGTATATTCATATGCATATAGTCAAAAGCGGTTATTTTAATATCACAAACAGACATTTTTTTTAAGGGGGGAAAATCATCGAATGGCTGCTCCCGCCTGGGTGAGGCGGGAGGGACTGTCAGACTCTTACTGACTAAAAACCACCCCGTTCCTTCTCCTGCACGTCGAGCCGGAGCCCCGGTAACCCGTTAGGTTCTCCGCGACACAAACAGACACTGCGAATATTTCTATGTGTAGATGTATAGATAATGTAATATATAATAATAATTCTAATCTAAACCATCTTATAAATGAACTAGACTTGGTACAAATTGTTCCTGAAATAGAAACTACGAAATTACCAGAAAAGATTTCATGAACGTGCGAAAACACTGTTGGCATATGTTATGAGTTGAAACCGCGTGTTTATATGATATTGAACGGTTCAGTAATTTTCAGGAGAGTTTTTTTATATACACGTTTCTATGTTAATGTTTTATGTACTGATGTGTTTGTTAAATGATGGAAGACCGTGAAATAAAACAATGTAAGTAACTGAGACTTTTTTATGGGATAATCTGGTAAACGAGCAGACGGATCACCTGATGGTAAGCAATCGGCGTCGCCCATGGACACCTGGAACACTAGAGCCAATATTCCAAGATTTATTTATTTATTTATTTATTTATTATATATATATAATTATTTTTATATATCAATATTATTATATATATATATATTATATAAATATATATATAATTATTATAGGTATATAAGATATAAAAATAGATTGTAATTTTCTGGTATGTGTCTCGCAATGTGTATAATACAACGATATCCTTTTCAATGTTGACTGCACGGTTGGTGTGGTGGCTAGGAAACTGGGTGCAGCGCAACTTGTCACGGCTTCGATTCCTGCACGGAACAACTCTTTGTGCAATCCACAAATTGTTGTAAACGCACACACGACCACGGCGAAAATTCTAATGTCGGGCAACGTTTTATTAAAAAAAATCAAAATGGGTTGACCTCATACCGACTTTTTACCACTTATGTTTTATGTTTTAAGTAATAAGGAGTGAGCCTATTACAATATACCTTCATTTTAGCCTCCGTAGGTACTCTAAAATTTAGGAAAACCGAAATCAGTGTAAGAACTCTTTGTTCAATCACTCGAGTATCCTACACCCGTTGTTCAGCAATGGCCACTCGACCAACAAGACTTATGCAACATCTGAAAAATAAGTATTTAAAAAAATATCATCCTCCATTTTTAATAAAAAACAATAGAATCCATTTCAATCTAAAACATGAAAGGGTTTCAAAATCCGGGGTTTTTTGGGTCAAGCGGAAAATTTTGCCGAAGGGTTTTTACTAAAGACCGGTGTTAATGAAAGACCCTGGCAATTAGATGGAATACCCCGGAAATTAAACTAAGTGATGGACTGTTAGACCCTTTATTTTTTATAAACCTTTATTTATCTCGAAATGTATTAGGTATTTTGTGTAGGTACTAGTTTAATATAACATAACATCACGCCTTTTATCCCCCGATGGCGTAGGCAGAGGTGCACAAGTGCACATTACGGCACTGTACAATATAAAACCTACTTTTCACTATTTATGTTATGAGAGAGAGATTGTTTTTTTTAAACCCAGTATTACTTTGCCCGACCCGGGAATCGAATCCGAGACCCCGTGCTCGACAGTTGCACTAGCGACCACTCGGCCATTGAGGCAGTCTTACATACTAATTATATTGGAATACATAATTATATGGTCTGTCCGACCGTCTGCCACTGAAGCTAGGCTTCAAAATATACTTTTTCGATCCACAAATCAAATCAAAATACTTTTATAAATCTGAAAATAAAACCGAAATGCTTAGTTCACTTTTAAAATAACAGAAAACATTGTAATAATAACTTCTGATTGGTTCGCATACGGAAATACACTGTTTTATGAGTACTTAGGATTTCTTGCTACGGTCGGCCACTCGTTTGGTGGTTTACGTCAATGCCGGTTGCGTACGAGTGTATGACCAATATAAAGCGGGCACAGCGTCACTCTCGCTAAATTTGGACTTCGTGCACTCATTTCGACGCAAAGGGCCGTTTGTTTTGGTGATTTTATTAGTGCTTTTGTCCAAGAAGGTAATGTTGTTATGGTGTAACAATAATTCTTGTATTTTTTTAATATCACTACTGTGGCTAAAAAAGCACACGGTCCATCTCATGGTAAGCAGTTATTGTGACTTATGTATGCTTGTAACATTTAAAAAATAACAAATGAAAATCGCGGGTTCCTCACTTGAATAAACTGAGGAAAAATTAAACTTCATTTAAAAAAATCGACATTATCTCCCTCTTTTGTTGACTTTTTTAACTAAAACCTCTTACATGCAAAAACCTTTTTCTGAAAACCACATCAATATCGGTTCGGCTAATCGCGAGATATACGCGCACAAACATAAATACATACAGGTCAAACTGAAAACCTATTTTTTTCTTTTTGATGTCGGTTAAAAAGGTCTATAAAGTCTTGAATAGAGGGATTTCTTACCACCACTGCTGTTTGCGCAGCTGCAATTAGAGTTGACTAAGCGATTATATACATATTTAATAGAGACTAAGCAGGGGCACTCTCTGATAAAGCTGATAACTTTATACCTCGACATTTTTCTCTTTTCTTTGTTTTTAGTAAATGTAAACCCCTATAATTAATTATTAGCACACTCCTACATACTACTGTTACTAGTTTTGAGGAGCGGGGCCTCCTAGCACAGGTATTTTTCATACTTAAACGGAGACCCCAGCGTAAGATTTATTGTAGAAGTTTTTAAGTTGCTTAATAAACATTTTTTAACATAACA